TTGTATAATCTTAAAGGTTGTAGAATATTTGTTTGGACCATCAATAATAGGATGAGGGTGTTGAAGAATATTAGTAGATTATATACTTATAATTATATATTATTTAAATTATTATAAAAAATATTTCAAAGCTTCTCAAATTTCTAACTAAATAAGTAATAGTTGTATTCTAAGTAATTAGCTATAAGAAAAATTTAATTACAAATATAATTAATATATATTGCGACTTATGACTAATATATCAGTTATATTTATAATAAATTTTATTTTTAATATTTGTTCAAAATACAATTCTTATTTATATAATACATATAGCATTTAATTTAAAAATTAAACTCTTGTATTGTTTAAAATATATAAAATACTTATTTTTATATAACAATAATTTTGCAACTATAAAAAGCAAATCTAATATTTAATTTTAGCTATATTTGATATTTATTTATTAAGAAAAGCAAATTAAATATATATAGTATATATATACTTGTAATACTGCATTTTGAAGAATGTGTAGATTATGTTTTAAACCAAACAGATGCAAAAATATATTACCTTTATCTGACTTTTTATCAATCTCAGCTTTTTTAAATTTATTTTTACTAGTATCAGGAATTTGCCTATTATTAGGAAGATAATTATGTTTATACTTAACTTCAATTATTTTAATTTTTTTATAGTTTGTAATATTGTCAATATTGGTTATTTTGAAAGTACTTTGCTATAAGTTATTTGAGTTATCTTGAAGCTTTGATGTTTTTCCATTTTTTAAAATCTGGTTTGAAACATTTTATATAAGATTAATAAATTATTATAGTAATACTGCAATAGCTCTTGAAAAAAATATATAATAAGCTAAGGAACTAAATTTTAGATATAATTAATTTTTGAAGTATGTAATGTATACTAACATTTATGAACTTCACTTTGTAGTACACAAGTATATAGATACAAAAAATATACTATTCCTTAATATATAGACCAATGCAGGCAAATTTGCCTGTGTTTTTGCACTTTTTTAGCTTTGATTTACTTTTTTAAAATGCCAAAATATTTAAATAAAACTTTGCAC